TTTAAAAAAAAATAAACAAACGTATGCTTTCTCTTTGGCATTTATCTCACCGAACACTCTAGATGGCACCTACTTGTTCGCTTCTGGTCTCTCCCTGCCACTGGAATGTGGGCCTCACAGGGAGGAAGCTGAGGTCCAGGGCAGTGTGACTCTCAGGTCACAAAGCTGGGGGGCAGCAGGGAGCCAGCATGAGGGTTCCTGGCACGGCCCGGTGGATGCCTGGCCTCTGATAAATAGGAGTAACTGAAGAAAATGGGGCCCCAGTCAGACTCAGGCCAGGCCTGGAGCAAATCTGAGGTTTATTGAGGCAGCAACGGCATTGGGGAGCAGCGGTGGGGGGAAGGGGGAGGGGCCTCTGCAGGGTCCATGGAGTGCTGGCCTTTTCCTTCGGCATAGGAGCTGGACACGGATGCACAGGGGCATGCTGGGTGGACCGCAGTGGTTCCGTCCTCCACGGGGTCAGTCTGTGCGAAGCCAGCAGCCCTTTTCCTCCACCTCCCTGGTCACCACCAGCAGCATCTCACACAGGCCCTGAGCCAGGGCAGCTGCCAGGAAGGCCCTGGGTGGACAGACAGGGAGACTGAGGCCCAGAGGGCCTCGGTGTGGCCTCTGGAGGAAGGGGCCTAGTCACCTCCTCTTTACCTGACGCCGTCCTCATCCCCCAGGGCCTCGGGTGCCCGCAGCTTGGAGTCCAGGTTGTAGTAGACGCCGTCCACCTGGCGCAGGGCCACCCAGTGCCGCCGGCGCAGGGGCAGGGACAGCAGCCCCAGCGACACAGGTGAGGGCAGGTTCAGGATCAGCCCCAACACCTGGGGCAGGGCCAGCTGGGACAGGGGCCTGTGCAGGCAGGGCCGGACATGGGGGCAGGGCTCAACAGAACTGAGCATGCGTGGCCCAGGCTGACGCAGCAGCAGTGGCCACCTGAGCCCACCCAAGGACCCTCCTCAGTCAGCCCACCGTTTCCTTTAACTCACCCATTCTCCCACCTGCCCACCCATCAAAAGCTCCCAGCAACCATTCAACTTCTATTCATCCCACCACCACCCACCCATCCAAGCCTCCAACCACCATCCGCCCAACTCTCCATTCACTCTTCACACATCTACCACTGATCTGTCCTTTATCCATTATACACCAGCTACCCCCCACCCATCCAAAGCTCCCAAACATCGAACAACCATCAAACGACCCATCTACTGTTCACCCAAACACCATCCACCCACTGACGCAGTCACCACCATCCAACCGGCCACCTACCTGTAAACTTATTCAACATCCACCCCACTCCTCACCTTTTCTTTACCCATCCACCATCCATCCGCCCAACCACCTATCAACTAGCTATCCATCCTGTATTCACTCAACCACTCATGTACCCATCCATTTCTATAGCCCATCACCTAATCCCATCTACTCAACACATCCAACCACCATTCACCCTCCAGTTAGTCACCCAGTTACCATTCATTTACCCAATATCCATCCAGCAACTCATCCACTGACCATCCAGACATCCCACACATCCTTCCATCACCTCCCAACCCATCCGTCTGCCAACCATCATCCACCAGGCAAACCTTCCACCCAACTACCTCTTCCTCCCTCCCTCCAACCCGCCCACCCCCCTCCTAATTTCATCCACATTGACCACCGTCATGCGGCACCCATGGCGCCAAGCCTCCCACCTCCTTCTGTCCCACCACACAGCGGCCAGGCCCAGTCCCTGCAGGGCAGCCATAATCACGTTGACGTCATAGTTGCCGGTGCCCAGGAAGCTGCGATGGGGATTCAGCCGGGAGTCGGGGGCCAACCTGGTTGGGGGGTGATCAGAGCCTAAGTTGGGGTCACTGGAAAGGCCTGCCCTCAAAGCAGGAGAGTGCCAGGGTCCGTGAGTCACCCATCCTTTGAACTCTTCCCTCTCTTCAACCCCTGCGACTCATCACCCCCAGGCAGTAGGGCAGTGCCTGTCCTCCTCTCTCTGCCCTGTCCTCCAACCACATCTTCCTGTTCAGGTCTTGTCCTCTGCCACCGGGACCCTCACCCAGCCTTCAGTCTCCCCGCTGCAGTCCATCTCCCACAGGGCCCAGGGGATCTTTTATACCTAGTGCTGACCCTGCCCCTCCTCTGCTCCCAGCCCTCCCTGGTGCCCTGTCACCCCAGGATAAAGTCCCAGCCCCTCAGCCTGGCTTTAGAGGCCCCACACGGTCAGGTCCCTGCTGGCCTCCTAGCCTCAGCCCCCACCAACCCCTTCCCAGCCACCTGTCTCCAACCACATCTCTTGTGCTCCTGCCCCCAGCCTTTCCTCCAGCTGTCCCCCCCGACCAGGAGGGTCACCCGGCCACCACTCGTCTGTCTCTCTGGGACCTGCCTCCTCTGAACAACAGCACCTTTGTTCTCTCTTTGGGCTCTTGATGGTCAGGACAGTGGGAGGGGGTGGAGAGGAGAAAGTTTGTGTATTATTTTTCTGTGTATTCTGTTTGCCTGGCCCCCTCAGGGCAGGGCTCGTATGGGACACATCTTTAGGTCTCCAGCATGGTCTTGGCACAAATGTGTTGAATGACACAGGAGATGAGTCAATCCTCTAATAATCAATCTGAGGGGCTAAGACTCAGCCTGAGGATGCTGGGGGCCTATGGGAGGGCTTTCAGCAAGAGAAAGGGAGACAGGGTCTCCTCTGGGTATAGGATCACGTGGGGGCTTGACAGGAGTAGAGGGACTGGAGGCTGAAGGCAGAATCCAGGGGACAATGGGTACTGAGCTGGGGCCAGGGCTGTGGGGAAGGGGGAGTGGGTGGGAATGAGGCAGAGACAATAAAGAAGTGATGTTTGAAATCTTGAACAATGAGGAGGAACATTCCAGGCTGCCAAGAGGAAGAAGCCATGCCAGGCAGAAAGAGCAGTTTGTGCAAAGGCCCAGGGGCATCATAGTGGGGGTCCTTTAGGGATGGGAGAGGAATCTGGTTTTTGGGGAGCAGTGAGGTGTGAAGCTGCAGAGGCCAGTGGGGAGCAGAGCATGCAGGGGGCTTGGATATCAGGCTGCGGGCCTTGGGACTTCTCCCAGGGATGCTGGGGAGCCATGGGAGGGCCATGAGCAGGGGAGAGGCAGGGTCAGTACTGGGGCATGTGTAGGATGGCCTGGAGGAGAAAAACCAAAAGCTGGGAGCCAGAGGGAAAGTGGGGACCAGGACCCAGATAAGAGAGGGCGAGGCCTGAGTTGGGGAGAGTTCCTGAGGATGAACAGGGAGGCAACATGTCCATCTCTGAGTCCCAGGGTCCAGCTCAGGCATGTGATGGGGTAGCAGAAAGCCCGTGGGCTCTGCCCCTGCCTTGCTGAGACCCAGGTGGGTGGCTCTGCCTCTGTGCTTTTCCAGGGGTTCGGGTGGGTGACGGTCACCTCTTGCAGATCTCATCGGCAGCCTCCTGGCTAAAGAGCTGCTGCTGGAGGACGTTGTTGAGGGCGTGGATGGCACACAGCTCCAGGCGCTGCCGCTCATGGTACACAGAGGCCGGGCTCGGCTGTGCTCCCGGACCCTGGGACATGCCGCCCTCGGCTCCTGCTTGGGGGGGGGCGGGGGAGAAGGTGTCCAGGGGACTGGGATCTGGAGGCCCAACCTTTCAGCAGGCCCTGGGGACACTGCCATTGAGATGGGGGCTCAGGGCAGCCTGAGGGGACACTGGGCCCTTGACCCCACTGTGGGGTCGCTCTTCTGGCAATAGGGTACACCCTCCATCCTCCATTCCTAAGAAAATGGCTTCTTTTTTTTGCTCACCTAGCAACATAGGAATACCCCCACCACAACCCTAAGTTAAAGGGTCCTATGGTGGTCATCTAGCAACAGAGAAACCCCCCTCCCCTGTACCTAGGTAACATGCTCCATCTCTGGTTACCTAGCAACAGGGGACCCCCACCCCCACCCCACTAGGTAACAAGTCTCTCCTCCGGTTACTTAGCAACAGAGGACTCCTCCTCTCCTGTCTCTAGGTAACAGGGTCTCTTCTGGTCGCCTAGCAACAAGAAGACTCCTGTCCCCTGTCACTAAACAACAGGGTTTTCTCTTCCTGTCACCTGGCAACAGGGCCCCCTCCCCGGACACCAAGAGCCCTTTCCCCAACCCGTACCCCAACCGCGGCGCTTGTCCGTTGCCCAGCAACGCCCCTCACCCCGCCTGCCTCTCTCCTCGCCGGAACCAGGGGCTCCCGCATCCCCCTGGGCGGCGGCTCTGGGCTCCGAGCGTGGGGCGGGCAGCACGGCGCTGACTGGGCAGGCAGGACGGACTACAGCTCCCGGCGGCCGCCGCGTGCCGGACTACGACTCCCGGCCGCCCCCGCAAGTGCTCTTGCTCCGCACGGAACGTCCCGGCAGTGCGGCCCGGAAGTCCACTACTGCTCGGAGAACGCCGGGCCGCAACTTCGGGACTGTAGCTCTCTGCGAAGAATCCCGGAAGTGTCCCATTCGCGCACTACCACGCCCCCTGGTACTCAGAGGATTCTGGGAAATGTAATGGGTACGCTCTCGCGATAGCTTCCAGGCTTTTTGCTCCCGGAGTGCGTACCCCATGAAATGGCGTGATGCGTAGTGCGAATACGCAACGTGACGTCACAGGGAATAACAAGGGAGTAGGGACACCAGGCTGTGCAATGAGAAGAACCTCCAATCTTTACTGAGACAGAAGGGAAGTCCAGGGAAACTGAGGCCAGGGCAGCTGCAGGACGGTGGTGGTTGGGAGGTAAATGAGAAGACGATGTCTTCCAGGGAAGGCTTCTTAGCAGAGATGGATCCCCGGCCTTGAGGGGAGCTGGCAGCAGCCTGCGGGGCAGATACGAGGGATGAAAGGGTGAGACAGAGAAATGAGGAGAGAGAGACACCTGGATGAAGGGACAGACCAAGGATGGGGTGGAGGAGGACCTAGAGAAAGGAACTGAAACCCAGTGTGGGAGAGAGACCCAGCAAGAGGGACAAAGACCTGGGGAGTGGACAGAGACACAGACAAAAAGATTCAAAGTCATGGCATAGAAGGTTAAGGAGACTCAGAAATAAAGGTCAACCAACAGAGACAAAATCAGAACTGCAGAACGGAGACCCAAGCTCTGTAGAGCACAGAGCCCAGGCCTTGGGGACTGGGGCCACTAGCCCTGGGGAGGGGCCTGGCCGTACCAAGGAGGCTGCGCCAGAAGGCGGTAACAGTGGCTGAGCCGGTGACAGCGCCTGGCTGGGCGGGGTTCTCTCTGTGGGTGTGCACAGCAAAGCTTTGCCCTGTGGCGCCCGGGGGTCCTCTCAGCTCCACGTCCACAACATGCATATTGGTGAGGCTGGGACAAGCAGGGTGGTCAGTCTGGCTGGCCCAGCCCCTGCCCAAACTCCCAACCAGCTTAGCTCACCTGAGGTCAGCCACAAGCACCCCAATCACGCGGTCGAAGCCCAGGCTGGGGGCAGCCAGGGCAGCCGCCGCCATGGTGTTGGAGTTGCGGGGGGCAAAGGGGCAGAGACCACGGACAGGGCCTTCATAGAGCACAGAGCGAGGCCCGCTGTTGTGCGCTGCAGCCAGGGGTCCCTCAAGCCGGAAGCCATCGGGATGTGTGGCCATAGTGACACGGAGGCTCTGGAAGTGAGAGCCAGAGTCAGGGGGCTCAGGGGGCTCTGCAGGCCCCCTCCAGTTCCTGGGGAGCCCAACAGACCCTCACCTGGAGACCTCCAGCTGCATCCAATCTGCTGATGTCCTCAGTACCCCACAGGGCCCCTCGGGCCACAAACACAGCATGGTTCCACTGGTGTGAGGCCTCCAGGAGCTTCTGTTGTGTGGCCTGGTCAGCCAGGGCTGAGGGGGACCCCACCTGGGTTGGATGAAGGTGGGAGGGACTGAGGTCAGGGGATGGGTAGATCCCACTCTGGGGTGGGTTGGGGCCAAGGTGGGAGGGGCAGGGCTCACCAGGAGATTGGCATGGCGCAGGATCTGTGCCCCAGATTCATGGATTATTTTGGGATGGGCCACTTCCACCACGAGGTCAGGGTGCCTGGGAGAGGGGAGAGATGGGGGAGGGCCTTGCAGAGGCATTAGGCCTCCCCTCCCCAGATTCCCGCAGTCTATATAGGCCTGTCATTCTTCACCCTGGCATGTGTGGGGAAATAGGATGTATGGGCTTGTCCCACTTCACATTTGAGTGAACCAAGGCCCAGAGAGAGTAAGGGACTCCCCTGAGATCACAAAGGAGCTAAGGAAAGCCAGAACAGGAGCTTCAGGGAGCCCCACTAGCTTATGGTGAGGCCACTGACCTCTCCCCAAGAGCAGTGAGGTTCTGGAGCTGCAGGGAGGGGGGCACGCTCCCCGCCATTCGTCCTGGGTCACGATTCCAGACAAAAACAAGTTCTAGGCCCAGTTCTGGTCCCTGAGTCAGCAAGTGGGAGACCAGGGACTGTCCTAGGGAGAGGGAAAGAAACTCAGATGGGAACAGAGAGAGGGGGACAGAGACACAGAGAAGGATGGAACCCGGTAGTGGGGAATGGAAGATGATCAGGCAGACACAGCCAGGGTGCAGATAAGGACATGGATGAAAGGTGTGTTTGTGGAGGAAATGGGGGCTTTGGGTGCTTCAGGAGGGGGTCTGGGGAAGAGGCCCCAGACAGGAACTCACCCAGGCGGCCGTAGCCCACTACCCCCACCCTCTGCGGGACCCTGTCGAGGGCCATGTCCTGGAATCTGGTGATCTGCGATCCGAGCACTGTTGCTTGCTGGCTCCCCCCCCAGCCCAACACACACACACCAGACCTGGGCAGCTGCTGGTCTTTGGACGTTTGACCCTTGAGCCTTTCCCAAGCTTTCCCCCTTCCCAGCAGTGGCCCAGAGGTGAGGGTGCAGATTTGCTGGATGGGGGCAGGGTGACAATCCTGAGGGCAGCGGGCATGATGATTTGGGGTTCCAGGGGCCCTGCATGGCCCCCCGCTGTATGGGCTGCTTCCTTCTCTGCATCACTCCCTCCTTCCTCCCTGCTGATGTGGAAAATTTCCTCTGCAGTCCCCCGCCCCCCTTTCTGGCCAGCCAGGTTGTCATGGAAACTGCATCCTGCTTGGGGTGGGGGTTGAGAGGGTTGGGAGCAGGGAGAGGAGATAGTGATGGGGCCTCTGGGCTCTCAGTCTGTCCCCTTGTGCATTTCCAGTTCCCATCCTTGTCACTGCTGCCCCTCACTTTGGCACCCTGTTTGTCAACATTGTCAGGATTCCTCCATGTTGTCCCCCTTTTGAGTCTCTGCATCTTTCTGATCTCTCTCCTTCTCCATCTCTGTCTCTCCACCACCCTGGATCGCCATCCTTTCAGCCCCTGCCTCCATCTCCTCTGGCTGCCATTCTGTCCCCAGCTGGGCCAAGACCTCAGTTCCTCCCTACCGCAAGGTCCGAGGGAGGCCTGGCCTGGTCATGCCCTGTCGTCTCCCCACAACGCAGTGGGAGCTGGAGTTCTGATCATCCCAGCCCCTCTCCAGAACCACCTTCAGTTCACCTTGACTTCTCATCTTTCATTCTCCCCTTCCCTAGCAGTGATGCCACCAAGCCCCCCCACCATCCTACACAGTATTCTCACTCCCAAGCCTGTCCCTCCCACTCCCCACCTCCCATGGGTCAACGAGAAGCCTGTGAGGCCTGGTGAGGCCCTGAGTGCCCCCCAAAATGAGCCTCAGCCAGTGCACCTCGCGGGTGCCCAGCATTGGAAATGGTGGAGGCTGCGGCAGTGCTGGCTCCCTGCCCCCAACTGCCACCTGGTACCCGCTGCAGCGTTGCCACGGCAACCAGGATTAGCTCTGAAAGAGGACCAGGGAGAAAGAGAGCATGAAAGAGGGAGTGAGGGGTAGAGTCCCAAGCTGACAGGCGACAGAGCAGACATGCAGACAGATAGGGCCCCCGCAGCTGTGCAGACAGATAGGGCCCGGCAGCTGATAAGGGAAGAATTTGCTTTAGGAGCCTCAAGACTGAGAAGAGATAAGATGCTGTGGGGCATAAACAGGGAAGAGGGGCAAGGCCAACATGGACGGGGGCCAAGCCCTCACAGAGCACACAGGGCCCTGGTGGGCATGTGGGGGCTTCCTGCCTGCCCCGCCTCCTGTCCTCAACTCCATGGGGCCTGGGTGTCTCACACAGCACCCAGGCGTGCTGTATGTGCTGCCAGGTTGGGCTGAGGTGAGAGAGAAAAGGGGCTGAGACCCAGCCTACTCCCCGGCCTAGTTCTGTGTCCATGGCCTAGTCAGCCTGAAGTGGCCCCTCATCCAGAGTGGCCCCACTGCTTCCATCGGCCTCTGCCCCCGGCCCCACCAGCAGCTGCCCACTGTCCCCACTGGCCCCTAGGTTTGCTCCCACTCGCTGGCTCTGGGAGCTCTGCATGCGGCCCTTGGTCCTTCTGAGCACCAGCGTAGTCCCTTCCCAGTCCTCAGACCTGGACCCCATCCCTCCTGCCTCTGCGTTAACAAGATGGAAGTGCAGCTCTGCCTGCCCCGCAGGCCCCAGCTGCAGCTGCAGCACCTCGCACCACATTACTACTCCTGCCCTCCCCTTCACCGTGTCCCGCCTGATCCGCTTTCTCTGTGGCAGTGTCTTGAATGGGTTTGCAGAGGAGATGCACACCCTGTGGTTTGGCTCTGTCATGGACTGAACTGTGTCCCTCAATAGGACGTGTTGAAGTCCTCAGCTCTATGGCCTGTCTGTGAGCGTGACCTCATTTGGAAACAGTCTTTGCAGACGATCAAGTTGAGATGAGGTGATGCTGAGTAGGAAGGGACCTCATCCAATATGATCCATGTCCTTATAAAAAGGGGGAATTGGGACACAGAGACAAGCATGCACAGAGGGAAGGTGATGTGAAGACACAGGGAGAACGCCAGGTGGAGATTGGGGTGACGCTGCCACCAGGCCAGGTACATCTGGCATGACCAGAACCTGAAAGACGCAGAGAAGGGTCCTCCCCTATAGGTTCCAGAGGGGGCCGAGCCTGTCACCCTGATCTCAAACTCCCAGATCCAGAACTGTGAGACACCATATTCCTGCTGTTCTGGGCCACCCAGTTTTTACCACTTTGTTGCAGTAGCCCCAGATGAATATGGGTCCCTCAATTTCTGCTGAGAAGTGAGAGCAGGGGAGAGGACCCCAGTATCTACCTCAAAAGAGCAGTGGGGAGATTAAATACTAGTGTCGGTGACCGAGCCCCTTCTTCTGGGGCCTCTAAAATCAGGGGTGAGGGGACTCAAAACCCGGAGCGACCAGCTCCCCCCAACCTTCCTGACTGGGCCTGCAACATCCTCTCATTCTGCACCCTGCCCACATTCACTTTGTTTTTTCTCTCCTCCATGCTTTCATGACCAAAAAAAATATTTTTTTACTTTTTCCATGTTTGTTTTTTTAAAGTAATTACAGAGCAGGTAGTCGTTGACGCAAACCTCCCTTCAGTATCAAAAGAGTCTGTGGGGTGGGTGAGGGCTGGGGAGATTGTAGGGGGCGGGCTGAGGCTGCCCCACCCCCAGCCAAGCGGCCTAAGGGACAGGAGTGGACTCAGTAGGGGGGCAGGGCCAGGGTGTCCGGAGGTGCTAACGACCATGTGTCTCTCTTTTCAGTTTCCAGGGTGGACAGGTGGGGGTGGGGAACAGGCGTCAAACTGCAAAAAATGAACCGTAAAAGGAGGGGTTTTGGGGATGAGGGGGAAGTACGCCCCCTCCAAAAAGCTCCTCCCCCCTGGAAGGTGGAGGGCCAGGATGGTTGGTCAGGAGAGCGAGGAGGAAAAGCGGAAGGTTCCGGCCACTTCTCCTGAATCCCACATCCCCTCGGGTCACCCAGAACCACGGGACTCCATGCCTGGGGCCCCACCCTGTCCTTGCTGGGCCAGCCGCCCTGGGGTCCAGATGGGCTCTGAGCCCCTCTTCCCCAACCGTCCCCGGGCGGTCCGCAGGGGCTGGGGCTGTGCGGAGGGTCCCAGTAGGTCCCGAGCCCGGGGCCCCACCGGGCAGTGGCAGCGTCAGATCTGCGTCTCTTGCACGTTCTCCTTGGAGCCGCTCTTGAAGAGCAGAGGTTCGTGGATGGAGTTGAGGCCGGGCGGGCCCTTGCCCCCGCAGCCCCCGCTGCTGGGGTTGCTGCTGTAGTGCGCCTTGAAGGCTGCCGCCACGTAGTGGTGGTGATTGAGGTGGTCGCGCTCCAGGGCAGGCAGGGCCAGGTGGCTGTCCCCGCCAACGCCACCCCCACTGGCCACGGCAGCAGCGGCGGCCACGGACACCGCCGAGGCGGCGGGCAGCTCGTCTTCCACGTTGATGATCTCCACCGTGCGTGTGGGCCCGTGGTGCTTGTGGAGCTGGTGCTGCTTTCGCAGCTTGTAGAAGGCCACGAGCATCACGGCGGCCATGAACGTGATGGCCACGAAGCAGCCGATGATGATCTTGGTGGTCTTCATGACGTCGTCCAGGTCCTTGAGGGCGTTCTCTGTCACGTCCGTGATGGGCACCGTGAACGCCTTCTCCGTGGGCCTTGAAGAGCGCGGAGCAGGCGCAGTGGTGGACGAGGAAGCCGGGCCGGCAGCATCCCCGGGCCGGCCGCCGCCCCAGACGCCGTCAGTTGTGGGCCCGGGAGGCTCCTTCTCCGTCCCCCGCGCCTGCAGGACCTCCTCTCCAGGCTGCGTCTCCAGGGTCTCCACGGTCACCGTGGTGAAGTAGGTGTAGCCACCACTGCCCCCTCCACCAGCACCTCCGCCCCCTGGGCCGCCCCCACCGCCAGCAGCACCGCCGGCCGCCACCGAGTCCACCGCCGAGACGTTGAGCGTGGCCGAGGCAGTGGTGTTGCCGGCCGAGTTCGTCACCATGCACGTGTACTGGCCCGTGTCCTGCACGGTGACGTTGGTGAAGTTGAGCGTGCCGTCGTGCAGGACGGAGATGCGCACGCGGTAGGAGCCGTGGGTCATGAGGGTGCCGTTGGGCGTCAGCCAGTTGACCGAGGTCATGGAGGTGCCCGTGCGGCACTTCAGCTCGGCGGCCATGCCCTCTGTGACGTTGAGGTCTGTGGGCGGCTCCACGATGACCGGTGCGTAGCAGGTGAAGTGCGACTGGTCTAGCTCACCGATGTAGCGGCCCTTGAGGCCGGCGGGTGCGTGGCAGCGGGCGCAGCAGGTTGTGTTGCTGGGCACCGTCTCCTTGAGCCACCAGCTCAGCCAGAGCACATCACAGTTGCAATGCCAGGGGTTATGGTTGAGGTGGACACGCTCCAGGCGGTGCAGGGGCGTGAAGAGGTCGTGGGGCAGCGACATCAGGTTGTTGTGGGACAGGTTGAGCTCCTCCAGGGACTTGAGGTCGTCGAAGGCGTTGCGCTCGATGGTGGCCACCTGGGCATGCATCAGCCACAGCTTGCGTAGGCTGGTGAGGCCCTGGAAGGAACCCGGGCGGATCAGGTCCAGCCGGTTGCCTGACAGCTCCAGCTCCTCCAGGCGCACCAGGGCCGTCAGGTTGGGGATGTCCTTGAGGTTGCACATGCCCAGGTTGAGGTAGCGCAGGTTGACCAGGCCCTCAAAGGCCGCCTCCGAGATGTACTCCAGCCGCTTGAGCTCACCCAGGTCCAGGCGCCTTAGCGAGGGCACACGGTTGAAGGCGTAGGAGGGGATGCTTTCGATGGGGTTGTTGCGCAGCCAGAGCTCCCGCAGTTTGGACAGGTACTCGAAGGCCTGCGTGGGCACCGTGGTCAGCCGGTTGTCAAACAGCTCTAGTGTGTTCAGGCTGGGCAGCCCGTTGAAGGCGCCCACCTCTATCTTGCGCACCAGGTTCTTGCTCAGCTGCAGGATCTCCAGGTGCCGCAGGTGCTTAAATGTGTCTGTCCTGATCACCTGGGGTGGGGGAGGGAGAGACACTGGTCACTGATGCACAAACGAAAGGTAACGAGAGCGCCAAGCCGCCACAGGCTGGTGGGTGAGGGGCAGAGCGTCCCTAGCTCTCCATCTTTGCTGGTGGGAGAGTAAGATCAGAAGACCACTTTGGAAAACGGTGTGATTGTTTCCTATTAACCTGAGAGGTACCCCACGACCCTACCTTCACACTCCTGAGACTTTCCCCAAGAGGAATGGGGACAGAGGCCCATCCAACTGCCTGTGGTGGGTGCTCACAACACCTGTGTTCATTCCGGCCTAAACCGGAGACGGCCCACATGTTCATAAAGGGGGAAGGATGGTGTGCTGTGTCATACAGTAGAACATTCCGGCTCAGCCGTTAAAAGGAACGAACTATTGCCATGCACAATGGCTTGGATGAATCTCACGGGCTTTGCGTTGAGCACGAGAAGTCAGAGGCACAGTGGCACGTGTGGTAGGACCCCGTTCATCCTCCGCTCTGGACGTGCTGAGCGGTGTCTCTGAGAGTGTGTGTGGGACAGGCTGGCAAGGGGCATGAGGGAACTTCCTGGGGTGACAGAAACTGGGGTGGTGGTTGCACGGGTGAGTGCAGCTGTCAAAAATGTACATAAAACGGGGCCATTTTATTATATGTATATTACACCTCAATAAAAAAGATTAAACAGCAGCTAACATGCGTTGAGCACGTCTTCAGTGCTAGACCCTGTTCTAAATGTGTTATGGGCCACAACTGATTTAATGCGACAAACCGCCCTGTGCGGTAGGTACTTATTCAACACCTGCAACTCTGAAATCCATAAGCTCAGAAAACCAGATTTTTCATAACTTTGGCACCAAATCCCATGCAAGCTGTTTAGGCCTTTTATTGATCCCACTCATGTGACTATTCAAAGCTTCCACTCTAGAAATATTCCCACGTTCGATAAGGGGTATAAGATCCACTGGGGTGCTATGAAAATATATGCTATCTATTCTTACCTTTCTAATATCAGAATGCCAAAACACATCTGGTCTCAAGGGTGTCACATGAGCGATTATGAATTCTCCCCATTTAAGTGGAAGGGAACAGAGGCACAGAGAGGTGCAGTGATTTGCCTAAGATCACACAGGAGGGGATGGCAGACTTGGGAATGTGCAGAGGCCATCTGGCTCCAGAGTCCAGGCTCTTAACCCTTGAATGTGGCCACCAGTCTTGGGGCTAAGGCTGAGGGGCCCCAGAAGGGGCAGTGCTAGGCTGGGCCTGGAAGGCAGTCTCACCAGATTCTCCTCACTGATCACCGTGCCGGGTACACTGAGGCGCAGCAGTCCACGCAGCCATCAGATGGCATTTCTGAAGTCTAGTCAATGCCGTGGGGGATGCTCGCATTATAATATTAAAGGGGAAATGGAAAGCACTAAACAGCATACCGTGTGGTCGAGACTTTGTAAAACTTAAAAAAGAGGCTGAAGAATTAGGTACCCGCACGTAAGTGCCAGGAAAAGACTGTAAGGAAATAGTCTGAACTCTTTTTAGAGTGAACTCCAGCTGTTGGGGATTATGGGCGATTTTTACTCTTGGTTATTTTTTTCTTCAATGGACAAAAAATTACTTTTACAATCAGTAGAAAAGCACTTTTTAAAAAGTTGAAAAGACGAGACCATACCTGAAAGGCACCCAGCATAAGGAACAAAAGTATTCCTGGTACAATCACACTCATAAAACAGTTAGCCACTATTTACCCCAGCGCAATCCAACACAAATATACCACGAACTATGTATTTTAAATTTCCTAGAAGCCACGTTAAAAGAAAACCCAAAACAGGTGAAACCAATTTAATCATACATTTATTTAGCCCAGCAGATCCCAAATATTATGATTTCAACAGGTAATCAAGATGAAAACTGAATGAGAAGCTTGACTTTCTTCACACCCGGCCTTCTGATCCCACGTGTGTTTTACGGTTCACGTGTGGGGTTGCGCACGTCACAAGGTGCTTTCTTGACTCCATAGTGCTTTACGAGCACAATCGTATTTTGTCCCCCAGCAGCCTGTGAGTGAGGACTGTTAGGGCTCCATTTCAGGCAAGAGGGAACGGTGGGGACTGGCAGAGGCCCCACCCACACGGCCGCCTCTCACTGACCTGACGGGTGGGATCGCTGTGACCATTCGACAGAGCTCCAGATGTGGCCGTGAAGACAGAGCTCCATTTACATCCCACGTCCCTGTCCTGGTTGTAGGGCCTATCACTGGAGCAATTGGGGCCTGAAGGGACAGACAATGATGACAGCCACTTCAGGGGCAGTCAGGAGGGTGAAAGGAGGTCACGAGGCCAGTGCACAAGCAGTGCCAGCTCCTCCAGAGTGCTCAGGGGCTCACGTCACATCAGCGTCGCATCAGCGTCATTACTGTTATTATTGGTGTTGAGTAACTGGTGCTGTGCCACTGGGATTAGAGCCCTGAGCTTTCTAACTCAAGGCCACACTGGGGCCACCTATAGAGGACGGCTCCAGGGCGGCAAAAATCGGGTTGTTAGTCCGACACTTGCTGTCCCCAATTCCCAAGCCTGGCCCTCTGTTCTCTGACTCCTTCCTCGTTCTGCCCCCTCCTCTGCAGTCCATGGCCCTAGCCCCAGCTCAGCTTGTCCTTATCCCACCTGGACACCTGGCCCTGGAAAGTCTGTTCACACCCATAGCTCCCTGACCCTCCCGGCTCACAGTCCTCTCAGAGCCTGTCATTCACAGCGCAAGATTCTTCTCCACACAGACCAGGACAACAGGACGGTACCACCCCCCATTAAAACACGGTCCCTGCCTGGCATGGCCTTCTCCCCTCCTCTTCCACTGGTCCTCCCTCCTCATCTCCCTCCTGTCCTAGCAAGTCCCCGAACAAGGCAGACTCACCCCTGGGTCTCTAGGCCTTTGCACTTGCTGTTCCCTCTGCCAAGAACACCTTTCCTACTTTTTTTTTTTTTCTAGCTACCTCTCCTCTGCCCTCAACACCCACCTCAGGGTCTGTCACCTGCTCCAGAGGACATCCTGGTCTCCTCTACCCACCCCTGGCCCCTGCCCTGAGCTCAGTTGCCCCAGCTGTCTGTTTGCCTCTGTCCCCTCTTGGGGCCCTCTCTGACCAAAATTGGGCTCCATTCCCTGGGTGGAAACCAGATACCTGGGAAATTAGAAAATAACCTGGCACCTTGCCAGAGGGTGACCTCTGGGTGCAAGGGATAGACAGATGAGGGACATTTGGGCTCTTAAAACTTTGCGTTCCTCAAGTCACAGGGACAATGAGAGTGGAATTGGATAACAGAGGAAATGCACAGCACAGAGTAGGTGTCCAGGAAGGAGTGTCCCCTCCCAACCTACCCTCCCTCCTCTAATAAACACCAACTGAAGTCTCCTGGGGCCAGGCCTGTGCTGGGTACCAGGTTAGCTAGAAGAACAAAGCAACTCTCTTTTGATAAAAGCAACATATACTCATTTTAGGAAAAAGCATAAGAAGAAAAGGAAAATCAGACAAAGGGTCTGTACCCAGAGTTCACTTCTGTGGACACCTTGGCACACACCTCCAATCTCTTTCCCTGTGCGGACAATGCAGGGATGTAGTTTCCATCATCTTTTTCATTTTTTTTACAACATTTTGGTGAAATATCCCCTCCTGGGCCCTGCATTTCCCCATAACAGTATTATATTGTGAGCATTTTCCCATATCGTGAAATATGCTTCAAAAACGATACCCTGACTATCCAGAACTAGTTCCCAGGCTACACCTACTTTTGGACAGGGCCATCCTTTATTTTCCTTATTATGCTTCCGTGGTCTCTAATTTCCTGTGGTGAACGTGGCTGACTCTTCAAGCTGCACAAAACCTGGACAAAATGCTATTTTACACCAAGGAGGGGGTGAGTCCCATCTAAAGCGAGCTGGTGGGCTATCGGTCTAAGGAAGCTCCTGTCAATGGTGAGATGGCCCCTGCAGTACCTGGCTTCCTGGGGACCGAAGGGCTGAGATGAAGGCAGGATGGATGGCCTCGGAGGTGGCAGGAGAGCTCAGGGAGGCCCCCAGCTGACCTGGGGTCTCTGTGGCAGTTGGCTCTGTGGCTGTGCCTGGGCAGGAGGCTGCGGGGGGTGGGGGAAGAAGAGGGAGCCTGAGCTCTGGAACCCTGGCTCCGCCGTGTAGGCCCCAGGGGCCTCAGTCTCCTCGTCCATCTGAGGGCACATGCGGTGCAGCCCAGCCTGCATGTCTCCCAGCGCATCTTCTCGCAGGCCCATCCCTTGAGGTGCTAAACAGCAACACAACAAAAGCTTTCCTGGTCAAAGCCGTCTGGAGCCCGCGTGTCCCTCCCAGAGGCTCCAGTGCTCAGCGGGGTGAAGTTCCCAGACGTCCTTCTTCCTTCGGGAGAGGACAGATTTGCTTTGCCCCACTCTGTGTATCCCAGACGTCATGACCAAAGCACTCTTCACACAGGATGCCTTTATCATCATCTTGGCAAACGCTGGTGAAGCACAGAGCAGACCCTCACTGCTATTTCTGTTAATAATAATGACAATAACAAAAAGAGGAGGACATTCCCATCATCGCTGATCACCAGGGGGAGAATGAGGTGGACTCTGAAAGGTTAGACTTGAGAGTTGGACCAAGAAGTTGGTAACAGAGGGATTGCTGGCTCAGGTGCCGGAGAGAACCCTGAGGAAGTTGCGCCCTCTTCCTGTCTTAGTCACACTTACTCCCGGGGATGGGGGTGGGGTGGGGGGGCAGTTCCCAGGAAACTCATCTGCAAACCAAGCAGGAGTGTGCTGCCAGCCCCACCTGCCCCTTCCTCCTTGTAGGATACCTGTTCTCAGCACAGCCTCTCCAGTCCACCCTCCCAGTCAAAAGCCGACCTGCAGCCTTGAACCCTGAACTACCCCACCACCTCATCTGGCAAGCCTGATGGTTCTATCCCTTTTGAATGTCTCATTGAAAGTCTTCTCTTCTCTATCCCCATGGCCCAACTCAGGCC